CTTGGCCGAAACTTCACTTCCTCCAGCTGCAGCAAAGGGACTTGGCTCAAAAAGTCGTAGAAAGTAGAGTCCATCACGGAGAATCCCCTTCCCAATCACGCTCCTGGATTGTAAGTCCTGGAGAACACAAAAATCACGAAGAAAAATCAAAGCCACGTTGTTCTCCTTCGTTAAACGACTGACGGACAAAAGATTGCAACGAAACTGTGGAACGTGAAGAACTCTATTCAATTTCAAGCCAGATGATAACTGTACGGTGCCAATTTTAGAAACAGGGACGCTGGTACCATTTGGAATCTTAACCGGCTTGCTAGGTGAATCACTGACAATCTCGTGCAACATGGATTCATCATAAACAATATGCTCGTTACATCCCGAGTCGATTAACCATTCTGAGCTAGGGAGACACATACCTGCCATATGGGACGATGGGTTGTCAATTGGAGCTGTGCTCGAGTTCTCGGGTTTTGTAAAGAAAAGCTTCAACTGCTCCAATTGTTGCAATGTGAATCCTGGGACTGGACTGTCCCCTTCGACTTGCGAAGCTCTAGGCTGTGATCCATCGCCCGAGTTTCGACGGCGACGTTCCTTGGAGTTCCCTCCTCCGGCGCCAGCCCTTTCTCGACCATCTCGCTCTCGACCATCGCGTCCATCGCGACCAGCGCGACCATCTCTGTTGGGCCACCCGATGAGATCGAAACAAGTTTCTTTGACGTGGCCTGTCTTGCCACAGTGAGTGCACCTTGTGCGATTTCTTTCACGGCCATCCGAGGAGCGCCCAGAGATGTCATCGCTTTCTCTTTGTGTGTTGAAGGCAGCAGCTTCAACTTGGGGTCTTCTCTTCTGAGCGATAAGACGCTGCTGCTCGTCGGAAGCAACGATATTGAAGGCCTCTGTTAGGCTGGGAGTAGGCTTCATGGTGAGGACTTGAGTTCTGACCATAGCGAAACTATCGTCCAGCCCCATTAAGAAGTCAAAGAGTCTATTGCTTTCATCCCTTTCCTTTGTTCGGCGCTCGAGTCCGCATGTGCAAAGGCCACAGGTGCACTTGGGAGACGGAGAGATTGACTGTGATTCCTCCCAATAGGTGCGCAGCTGTGTGTAGAAGGATGAGACGCTGAGTTTTTCTTGCTGCAGCATACTCACGAGGCGTCTGATTTCGTACGCCCGTGACGCACTACCTCGGCCAAAACGATCGCGCAAGTCGATCCAGATTTCTTGTGCTGTTCTTGCATACCGTACGCTGGCGCGTACTTCCTTATCCATCGCGGTACGTAGCCATCCCTTGACGATGGCATCGCAACGAGTCCATGCTCGAAGCTCCGGATCAGCTGTTGGTTTCGCGATGGTGCCGTCAACGAACCCGTACTTATTCTTGATGATGAGGGAGTCGGTCATCTCAATGACCCATTCCCCATAATTGTTCGAATTGAGAACTTCTCCAACCTGCAATTGGCTTGCAGTTTCAGACGGGTGGAGATACAGAGGAGACGAAGGATCTTGATCCTTGTTGGGGGCAACGAAGAAGGAAGCGGATGACTTTGCCTCTTCTTCACTGGACGAACTGGACGACTTCTTTGCTTCTTCGCCAGTCATGGTGACTGATTTGTGTGGATCAATGCTCTGATACCATGAGAAAAATCAAGCACGGTAGAAAACGGAGACAAAGATTTTACGTGGTTCGGTCTCTCGGTGTGAGAGGCCTACATCCACAATCAGGAACTACTTCTTCTTATTACGTTATGGCCAATGGCCTTACAATCCATGTATATATATCCCTAGCATCTAGCATCTTCAGGGGTTTACATGGAGGAGAAGGATACTGTCTCCAGCTCGTACAAGGAGAGCTTGGAGTAGCCAGCACGTCTGTCGAGTCACAGCAAACGCAATGGGCTGCTGGTTGTGCTCGGCCCAATACGACAAGACATGGGTTATAAGCAGCTCGATATGAAGGATTTTCCTTCTACAGATTGTTCTCCCGAAGTAGCTCGTCGAGTGCTTGCCCCTCTTGGAATTTGAACAGAAACAGAGCAACGACACAACCTGTTTCACACACGTTGTTACGTCAAAGGGAAATTGCTCGCGGTCGTTGTGGATCCCGGAAGCTGTACCAACGTAATCAGCGTCGAGGCGGTGAGGAAGCTTGGATTGCTCACTACGAAACACGAGCGTCCTTATTCGTTGTGTTCGCTCAATGAGTATGGCGACGTGAGAGTCACCAAGCAAGCTGTCGTTGCGTTTGAACTTGGGTCGTACAAGGACGAAATCCTTTGCGACGTCGCCCCAATGCAGGTGGCACACCTTATGCTAGGCCGACCATGGCAATTCGATAGGAACGTATCTCACGATGGCCGAAGAAATTGCTACAAGGTGCAACACGAAGGAAAACGGTTCCTTCTCAAACCGTTGTCGCCGGAAGAGGTTCGAGATGACCAACGCCAAATGGAGATGAACCGAGCCAAGGAACGTGGTGATTCTCTTAGCACGAAATCAGAGGAAGAGGTCGGAGCCAATTTCATGCCTAGACGTTATATGTTAACTACTCAGGAGAGACATAGAAGGCGGCAGCCCAACAGAGTTGGCGACCCCTGTTTTGTCTCCGTAAAACAGAGTCCCGATTTGTGTAGCCTGGCCGGCGATGAAGGAGGAGAGTTGGCGCACGACGTGGACATAAAAGCGTCATTGGAGGGTGGAGGAACGACTAAGAATCGAGAGCCAGCTTCTGAGCAAGATGAAAGCAATCGACTTCCTCTGTCGACGGGAATGGCGCAACTCTGCCATTTTCCAGAGGAGCAGAGTGCCAAAACTGACGATCTCGTCGTGGCTACGAAAGGTGATACGTGTGAAGCCTCTGCTACAGAAACATTCCAACAACATACAGGAATGATTTCGTGGGATTGGTTCGAGCCATATCAGGTTCAATTGTTGGAACCAATTCGAGCTGGAACTCCTCAGGAAACGCTCAAGAACAAAGAACAATTGACTGAATGGGTTGGAGAGTTCCAGGTCGATTCGATCAAACTGGCTGATGGAGAACCATCAAGGGACGTGCCAGGAAGCTGTACGATCAATCAATTCATCGCGATGAGGTCTGATTCACAAACGCCCAATTCGACATTGAGCTTGCTGGGTTCCGAAAATTTAAATTCGGACGACGGCGGGGAAATTTCAGGCCATGATTCGCCGCGTCTCAGGTGCATTCGATGCATAGAATCGATCGAGGAGTGTAATTCGTTGATAAAGAAAGCTGATTCGTGCCATGGATTGAAGGATGAAGCTGTGAATCAAAAAGCCCCAATCTGGCGAAGTTCATCGCGGCGGTGCGTGCTGTCGGAATCTGGAAACAAGGAAAATCGTAGTCTGGGCGTAATTGTGCCAACTGAAAGCATGAAAGGTGCCCAATGGAGTCCTATGAAGATGCAGGAGCTGGAATTTCGTCAGAAAGAAGTAGCAGCACGAGTAGAAGCAGCTGCCAAAGTCTTGCAGAAGTTGGAGTTTGAGCTGCCTTCTTTTGACCCCATTTATGATCCGTTCTGTGCAGATTTTGACAAGAGGAAGGATCAAGCTTTGAGGGCAAAGCTTTTGGAAGAGGGGGAGCCTGATATGATCCCAAATAGGCCACTCTACAAGTTGGAATTACTTGACGAAGAAGCAAGCTCAAGCTGCCTGAAGAACATTCATTTCTGTGAGTGTCATTTTCCGTGTTCAAGTAGCCAAATTTGGAGGCAAGTTTCTCTCAATTGGCTCAATGGAAATTCAAGTTTAATGGATTGCATTGAACATGGAGTGATTATCTACACCTTCGTATGCTTGGTTGCTCAAGAAGAAGTCATTAAGGTTGTTTTCCAAAGTCTCAAAGTTGCTACCTCAAAACTGGAAAACTGCCAGAAAATATATAAGGCAGAAAACTGTGTTGAGATACCAACTTTGAAGGCCTATATCTGGAGTTTGGGGAATGATCTCGGGCTGTTTCAAGTTGGAGGTGAAAGAGGGAGTTTTCTTCTACAGAGGAAAGGAATTGGTTGAGTTCGAATGAACTTGGAAGGCTTTGATCGAGAGGCTCAAAGATGGCATCAAAGCTGTTTGGTTACTTGGAGCTAAAGGCAGATTTTCCTTTTCTTGTTTAGTTAGGATTTCATTGTTTTGGTAGTTTTTGATTCCTTTCGGTATTAGACTGTAATTAGGAGTTTATGGGACGTGTGTAACCCTAGCTAGGCCTATTTAAGCTTTCTATTTCGTTGTAAAACTCGGACTTTGATGAATTGAAATTGAACCTTTGGGTTTTTGCAAGTTTGCGTACTTGTGTTGAGCTTTGGTGGATTCCAAGCTCGTTGAGCTCTTGTATCGATCAAGAACGCGTTGATCGTGGCCGGGCATCTACCTTTATATCATTCGAGCCTTCTTCCACGTGAAAGATTGCACGTTTGATTCCGTTTTATCCAAACACCCAAGAACATCCTTGTTTTTGGTTCAAATTTCGTTTTAATCAATCCAATCCTTGGATTGATTGTGTTGCTGCGTACTTTGGTAAAAATCCAACCCCCAGGGTTGCATTAACAAGCCCTTGGAGCGATGGTGCAGACACTTGTCGACCATCGTGTTTTATTTATTTAATTTTTCTAGCCTGGTCTTAGGAGGCCTTGTATTTTGTCGTATCTTTGCTGCTTCCCTCTCGGGATAACTTTGGCAAAAAAAAAAAAAAAAAAAGTGACTATGATGTGGTACATTTTCTTTCACGAATTCAGGAGTTGCCTTCCACTAGTATTAGCTCCATAATTTTTTTTTTCTCACAATCCCTCCAATCTAACGACTCTCATTAACTTTGACAGATCCCTAAATATGCATTAGTTGGCACCATAATCATAATACTCACTCATGCGCTAAGGCTAGCAACCTAACACGTACCATAGTTTTCCTGTCCCACTATCCATCTAAAGAAGAAGATCAAACTAAAATATCCAAAGTGATGATTAAAAGTGGGGGAATGAAGAAATAAGATGAACAAAGCATCATCATTATATATTAATCTCCACCTTTGAAAGCATGGAATTCCCTAGCTAGCTAAGCTAGCGCTCTACTCATTTCATAACAAAGTAACAAACATAATTAAACCACCAAACTCAGCACACCCAAATTACTGAAAAGAAAACCATAAAAAAAAGATCACAACGGAAATGAAACAGAGAAGAAAACAGAGCACTGCCTCTATCCTGGCCGTCCACCCAACATCTCTCTCACGACGACGAAACCATCACCAAAGCCACCGCCGCCGCGACAATGACAGCCCCAAACAGCGGCGCAACGTTGCCAGCCGCCGCGGAAGAGTCAGGGAAGTTGGACGCCTGGCGGTTAGGTGTAGTGGAAGCGGTGGCGGCCGGGGTAGCAGGGGAAGTAGTGGTGGTATCGGCGCCGCCGCCGGAGGCAGGGGAGGTTGTGGGAGTGGCGGATCCACCAGCAGCAGCAGCAGCGACGGTGACGGCGAGCTTCATCCCTCCGCCGCAGTGCCCGACGACTCCGCAGATGAAGTAGTGTGTGCCGGCGGTCTTGAGCGGCACGGTGGTGGCTCCGCTGTTGTCGGAATTCAGGGCGTTCCCCACCGTGCACGTTTTGTAGTCGCTGGCGCTCACCTCGTCCACCGTGTGCCCGCCGGGGTAATTAAACACTGCGGAATTGAAATTCGAATCAGCCAGACTCATGGTTCACAATTTTAATAACAAGAAATTTCTGGAAATCTCATATCGAAATTGGTAATTTCTACGATACTCTGTTTTTTTCAGTAAGCATTAGTGACGACTGACGACCCACGAGCGCGACAAAAGTAACAATCTTTGTGGGAGAAAAGGGGTTAAATAGGGGAATTAGTGTTAATTGAGTAACTAATTTGCAACCCATTTGATTTTTTTATGATCGGAAAGCTAAGATAAGAGTATAATGGGGGAAAACAGAGAGGGAGATGGGCTAACCGAGGGAATCGCCGACTTTGAATGACTTGCCGGCGGTCCATGTGGTGTAATCGGCGCCGATTGCCCAGCCGCTGGTGTCGCCGACGGTGTAAGTGGTGGCTAGTGTGGTGGTCGGAAGAGCGATTCCGACGAGGCAGAAAATGAGGGCTAGAGATGTGGCGAATGAGGCAGAGCTCGCCATTTTTTTGCAGGGGGAAGCTAAGTGGGTTAGAGAGGAAGAGGTTGGGAGGGATATGAAAGGTGGAAAGTTTCTTTGAGGGGGGTAAAATGGTTTTTGTTGGTGAAGGGAAGGTTATGGTTCTTGTGAGGTAGCTTAATTGTTGTTAAGGGTTAGTTTCTTATATAAGGGAGGTGATGGTTATGGAGTTGGTGAAGTTTTGTCCCACTCATGAAAATGCTATGGGTCTTTTTCTCAATAGTATAATTTTGATAGTAGATGTTGTATAAGTTGCCTAAAAATGGGTTTAGTACAAGTAATTTATCAGATTAATCTCTCATGTTTGGATTTATTAATGTATGGTATTTCCAGATGATTTTTGGGTTTGAAATTTAAATTTTAAGTATATGAATGTTATCATCTATTAATTATCACTAAACAAAATATTTAAAGTTATCATAATTTTGTAGTCCATTTGGAACATTGTTTTATTTGGTACTCTGTATTAAAAGTTGCAGCACATCCAAGAATCATGTAACTTAAGTTGTGCAGTTTTGACTATTGCAGACATATTACATTGCAATCGGTTAGATTTTTCGTTATCAAAAGTATATATATTGGTTAGATTCGTCATTATAAAATTATATTGATTTATCAGTAATGGAAAACTGACATTTAACGAAGATGACTAAATTTGTCAAATAAATATTCTAAATGTGACTAAATTATTCATTATCAAAGAAAATAACCATCTATATCATAAGGATTAAAGATTAAATTATACAAATGTATCTTATCTAAAGATAACAAACAAAAAATTGAAGGAAAAGTGGTTGATTTGAGGGTTGTCCAGTGTCTTGAAACACACTTTCATGACTACCAATATGCAGTGAAGAAGAGGGTAAATTTTTTCCCTTAACTGAAGTTGCTTAACTTGAGCATCCGGTTGTTAGCTAGCACATGATACGACGATAGCAAAAGGCTCGAAAAAGCCAAGCTAGGCCAGTACATCAAAGCACCAAGAAAAGTTTCCAGATCAAAAGGAAGGGAAAAAATTATATATGTACAGAAATGAGAAGAGAAGCTGATTTCATTGCATCTGTTAATCTATTATTATGCCATTCTGATGATGGGGTTTCTTTAATTATCCCATATATAATGACTGATTAAAAGAGGTTCCCAAACATCATAATTAAAGGACGAGAATATTGGAGTTCAGAGACAATTTTAGTAGCGTATATATACTTGGCCATACTTAATGCAGTAGTAAGCATAGTAGCAGTAGTTAATATATATACAAACCTAAATACAAAGTACTGGTCCCTAATAACAATTCTTCAAGTGTGTAGGTGTTACTATCTTATTCAAACGGTGTGGTTACCATGATAATCATTTTAACCAGTAATATTTGAATAATTTGGATAATCGTTTTTGTTTGGTTATACTTTTTAGCTTGTTTGCTTTAGATAGTTTGGTTTGGTTTCAGAAACTCCTAACCAATCAAACCAAATTAACCAGTTAAGTATTTAGTCATATATCGAACATATATTATCTACACATACTTATTAACGCTAAGTATGTTTATTTATTATATAAATTGCAAATTGATGCAATAACCGGTAATTTTCTCACTTAATGATAATGTGATATTATATTGATTATTTTGGTTAACCAATTAACCAAACCGATTAAAGTTTAGTCTGATTAATTTGGTTATTGTATTAGGTTGGACGGTTTGGTTATGATATTGTATTCCATGGTTAATAGAATTTATACTTATTTGGTTTGGTAATTACCATGGTAACCATTTGAACACCCCTAATATTATCTTTGTGCACTAATCTTATACAGGTCATTCAATATTATTAAGAAAAAAGTAATTTTCAACCTGTTGTTGCAAGTATTTCTCGATGTACTTCTCGATATGAAAATGAAGATGATCTTAATTATATAGTTGTCCTCACTTAATCAGCTATTGCATTTGTTTTCTTAATTTGAGAATGAAGATTAACTAGTTTGGTGTCTGACCCATTGGTTGAAATATCATTTGGATACATATTTTTTCGTTGAACTAGATGCATTTTCTTGAGAAGTGTCAAAATGCACCCGAAATGCTCCCAATTACAACGAGAGAGGACACATCAGTTTCCAACTCATTTTTACCCCAGTTATCCACATCAAGTCATCTCTAAGTCTCTTGATCACATCTTCATCTGAACCTTTCTTTTCACCATGGATTTGTTTACATCGCTCATACCATATATGGGATACAACAAGACACCACAACAACGATCCAAAGTGTACATCGTATCACAAATTGTTTTCTTAATTTTTTAAAATTATTTGAAATGCTTAATTTCATATGATATTTAGGTGACATCAAAATTATTTTCAATTTGAAATTATGATAACTTTTTATTAGTGACCGTATATTATTTTTTTAGTGATCATAACACTTGTAGGGGTTTGCAACAATCCAATACGGACCGGACCAGATCAAACTCATGAGTACCATAGCCCACTAGTAAAAAATCATTAGGACCAAAGACGGACCATCATTGCAATTGCTCCACTTTGGATCGGACCAAATGTTTATTTGGTCCATTTGTCTTCATTATTTACAAAATTCATTGGATCAGACCGTACTATACTCAGCTCGGTATGGTTTGGTCCGAAGGTCGGTTTGGTCCAGTGTGTCCAGTACGATCAAACAATTCATGACTTGCCTAGTTAATGATGCAATCACTTAGTTGCCTGTGGTTGGAAAGAAAATTTACATAACAAATGAGAATTTCAATGAGAAAACATAGCATACATAGAAGGAAAAAAAACCATAACCACAACCTTTTATCCAATATTTGTTCCTCTCTATGCGTGACACAATACATATACATCAATATAAGTTAAGAATCATAATTCCTGAGCAACTATCTAAAGTTCATAACCAACCAAGTGAATAGACTACACATAATCACTGAATACTTTAGGGTTTCTATTATGCAATAAGTTTTAATTAGTGCATGAAATAACAGAAGAGGGTCTCTAAGAAGATGAATTAAACAATCAATTCGAAGATATATAGATGATACATAGCTTAGAACCGTACATGAACTTTTTCAACATGTGATACTTAATAGAAGGTTTGAAGGAAGAAAGAAATTGAATAATCAATTATTGTATTCTAGACATTCTAAACATAAACCTTTTGACATACACTAAAAGACACTAATCACATCACACATGTTTCATCATGCATTGGTTGAGAATTCTGCTTACTACTCTGCAATCAAGAAAAACTATAGTTTTATTTCCAAGTATTCATTTCTATTATTCTCTTTGTTTATCATGTTTGTTTTGGTTGAAAGGTAGGCGGTACCCCAAATTTAGCCACTGACGTATTCTTGAAGTATATCGTAGTCCAAGTAATCTAATTGTTGGATGTACTTCATTGTAATTCGAAGCATCAAAATCGTTAAGTACGATTTTTGTTATATTCACCTTCACATTTGAGTTTAGAGAATCTAGGACTAGTGCTTATCCTTTAAAGTTTATGGTATAGTATCATACGCTAAACTCGATTGAATTCATGGTCTACATGTAAATATCTCACTATAAGTATTTGGACTATCATATACTCAAAGATAGTGTAGCACTTTGACCCATTTATAAATATAGAGAGAAGGAACCCCAATTCCTCTCCAAAATTCTTTAAACTCAAACCATAAGATCAATTTAATAAAAAATAATAAACTACCATTATAATTCGTCAAATCATATAAAAATTATATCTAATAGACCTTAACGCATGGGTATATTATACACCAGTCATACGATACCATATATCCATAGAGGATAGGAGTTGTACGTATGTGAATAACAAGTATCATGCTCAAAATCACTCAAATCACCTCTCTCTCTATATAATTTATCCAAACAAAGAACACTTCTAATATGCTTTAAAATACAGTTTGAAGTTGTACCATAACGTTAAAAAAATAAATTAAAGTTGTATCATAAAATAATTTGAACTTTTATGTCATGGTATAACTTGAAGTTGTACCATGAGATAAATAGACAACTTTAGTTTGTACAATAAAAGGATTTATACAAGATAGTAAAGGTACAACCTGAAGTTGTACCATAACGTTAAAAGTACAACTTCAAATTGTACTATAAAAACAAAAACAAAAACATTAATACTTTAAAATTCCTCCCACACTAGAACTGTATTGGTGTCCATAGAGATACGGTAAGGAATCCATCCCTATAACTATAAGCCAGATGAAATCAAAAGAAAAAAACGGTGGTGGTTAAACGTTACCTCATTGAAAGGCATAACACATTAGATCCAGGAACATAAGGGGAAAAAGCATTGCTTCTTGCTCATATCTGTCTGATAGACTTAAGCTTGATTCAGACCGAAGCAACATCCGATACATGGTGATGGCGGGCTTCCTTAGAAACTAAAAACCGATCAATGCAAGGGTTGAAAGTACATACATTAATTAGTAGCACAACCCAGAAGTCAAACTTTGGAACGTGTTGTTTGTTTTAAGTAATGCCACGATTTTGCATCTTGTTTGGAGCCTTTTGCCTAACAATGGAAAGATAAGAAATCACCTGTCCTGATGGAAACCCCGGCACCTAACGGGTGGCCAAAGTGCCGTCGTCAATGGTTACGATTCTTTTTTTTCTTCTTCTTTCGAATTGGTTTATTTGGGATCATAATGTTTGCAATAACGTGTAATTGAACAAATGTGTTCTATGAAAAGGGTGGAATTCACATAACTTGATTTTCAATTTACACGATTCCTTATAGTTTACACTTAAAGGTTAATCCATACCATATTGATTAATTACAAGAGATTTAATGAATTCATAAGGTAAGCTCAATATTAATTATTAAATGAGCTAGCTGGGTCTTATTCAGTTGAGTTTTTAGACCTAAGTGCCCGAACTCCCTCTCCCATGCACAGATGGTCGACCAGCCTCCCTGACTTCCATGGTCAGCGGTGTCCCTCCCTTGGTATGAAATGTGGCTCTAAAATAATACTAAGTCTGGACGCAAGACAGGCTTAATGACTAACCGACATGGTACCAAGACGACAAGGCAGACCTGGTACCAAGACATGAAATTTGGTTAAGTA